GGCTGGGTTTGTGTAGACTGAGTCAGTTGGGTGGTACTCACTGGGTGTGTCAACGCATCATCCGACAGTAACATAGTGATGCATTACATCATCATACAGTACACTACAGCGACACAGAGATCACATGGGTCTACATGTGATCACCAGCTACATCACTGTAGCAGCACACTCTCCAGTTATAGCATGCCGCTACGGCAATGTAGCAGCAACATTTGACTGTGCGCCACACACATGGAGCAGTAACCGCCCATGCTTTGCCATGCTTTACTACTTCCTTTTGGAAGTACTAAAGCATGGCAGTGTAGCAACATCACCGTACAGCAATGTGTAGATGCACCCACTGAGGAACTGATGGTTTTCTTAAACAGCTTGATCCTTTGAGATAACTCTAGGAGGGGCTGAGCTTTCTACCATGTTATGCTCCGTAACCACATTAGAAGATAAATACACATTCAGGAAAGGTAATGGTTTCAAGGCCACTCAGTAGTTTCCCAGACTTACTGTAGCCTAAGCAACTTAAAATCAGCTCAGCTCTTCTGTTCAAATGCATCCTAATGTAATCATCAATTAGAGCAGCATGAACTTTTATCTCCCCAGCCACAGGCTCCAGCCTCATTCAGGGCACAGGATGGAGAGAGTTCACCAAATAACCATGTATTCAGAGTTCTTTGCATATGTGAATGAGTCACTATGACATCTTATTGTCATAGTTTTATGTGTGGCCCCAGGCCCTGACTGCTGCTCACTATTGAAATCCTGTCTGGAGTATGGAATTAATTATTTCCTCATGGGCTGTCCTGTGCTGTTCTGATGGCAGTACCTTAGGCCAGGTTCAAAAGGCAGTTTGGGATATTCCGGGATGAGGCACATGAATCCCTTTCTGGGTCTGTCCCTTTGTGCTTTACAGACTAGTGAATTTACCTTCACAAACCCAAAACTATTTCACACAGTTACTACATAGCAAATAGTGATGCAGAAATTAAAGCTAAATTGGCCAAACTGGGAAGTAATTCTAGCTTTGCAATCCAAGGCATATGG